CACCACCTGAACCCATCCTCCCAATACCCCTTCGTGCACACACACCGTCGCCATCATTCTGCATTGTCGCCTTTCTGCGATGCCACACGAATTCGACTATGGCAAAGCATGCCACCACACTTGTCCACCACCACCACCGACGTAGCCGCATTATTGTTGCACTCGTTTACTCATCGCTGCACTTCATTCCACTCCTGTTCTACTTCAGTGAACTCCACACATACTGCAGTCGCCCGACTGCCACAACGAACAGTTGGGCTGCAATTGCTCGCCACAAGGCACTCGCCTCACTCGCATTGCCAATACCGATTTCCTTGTGTTGCACGTTGCTTTTGCACATGCCACCAACTCAGCGACGCTATACCATGCCGTTGGGCTCACCTCTGCCGTTATTTGATTGCATTGTCCTGCGCCGCTACTCTGCATTTTGCTTTGCCCGTGTGCTCTTCACCGCAACCGTTGCACAAGCTGTACGGGTATCATCATCAACAACGGCATTATCATCATCGTCGGCTTCGGTGTCGTCGTCGTCGTCGTCGTCGCCATCGCCATGAACGGGTGTACTCCATATACACTATTGGAGTTACTGTTGTTGTTGTCGAAAACTCAACAAATGTTATAGTGGTGTGTGTAGCTCTTTTTGTTGTTGTTTTTATTGTCATTGTTGTTATTTTTGCTATGGTCATCGTTGTTGTTGTTTTTGTTGTAGGTGTTTTGTGCCTCGCATATTCCACATACATTTGTTCATATTGTCTGACATTGTTGTTGTTACTGTTGCTATTGTTGTTGCTCCTGCCTTCGTTGGCCGCCTGCTTAAGCTGCCACACATTCAAAAAATCAGCGCAAAGTTGTTGCAATTCTTGTTGTAGTTCTTATGCCCGACTGTCTTTTGCGTTCTGCCAACTGTCACAACAACAATCCCCCCTCTTTCTTCCTTATCCATGGACGCACTCCCAAAGAGCTTCATTGCTCAAGCTTTTAGAGTTCTCTTTCCTCCAGTTTTGCTTCGTTTTACGGTAGTCTATCTTCTTATTCGCCTTCTGCCGTCTTTTCAACGGTTCATTCGTCTTCTTTGCCTCTTTGCCATCCYATGTGTTCCATTTTCTGGCATTCCCATTGTTATTTGTTGTATTTATTTTATTATTAGTTTACGTGTGTACATATGCACTTCCGCCCTGCGTCGCTGCGGCGCTCATGCTCAGCCATCACTTTAATCGGCGTTGTYCCTTTAACTTGTTGTGGTCGCACTGTGCTTCGTTTTCGTTAAAATGCTGAGCATAAATTTATTTGCACTCGCACTCTCTCATATGTCAGATGAGTTCATTCATTTCCCTTTCGCTGGTGATATTAGTTATTGTTGTAATGTTGAAGTCCTAGATGATTGGGTTAATATGAAGACCGTGAGGATGTGAATTAATCTCTTTTTCCTTTCTACAGAAGGGAGTGTGGTGACAAAATATTTGTTAAAATAAAAAAGTAAAGCAAAGACACAAACTAGGATATTTACTTCGGTTCAGAGAGGTTGGTACCACGGGATCAAAAGAAATTCAGTGGMACATTTTTTCTGAGTTGAGCATTCTAATGCAACTAATGGAATTTTTTGAGGTGAAGCCATCTTAATCTTCCACACATTCAAATTTATTGACTTTTTTTCAATTTGCATAAATAATTTAAGATTATACGGACTAAGAGAACACAAGGGTTTTTTTATCATAAGAACCCAACTTACCTGCAAATTAAAGTTATGACCGATTGATGGGATTTTGGAAACCGCCGTCAATTTCAACCATGAATCGGTTAATACCGAAACGTCGAAAAAGTTATAGCAATTTTGAGGAGCAATGTCTAAATCAAGGTACAAGGGAAACAATGGATCATCTCTTGTGCACTTGTCCCGCAGTGGCAAAACTACGGTATATTCTAGGAGGTATCGATAGTGAGGCCGTAGAGTCTGTTAAAATTCGTGTTAAGCGCAAGCATCCTAAAGGAAAACTGCTCCTCATGGACCTAGCAACTGAACTCCATATGTTATCGCGAAGAACCAAAATAGTTCTATCCGTGGCTTATTGGACCACCAGATTAACCTACCTTAACCTTRATGAGCATTTAAACCCATTGAACACTTTAATACCGTTACTAAACAAAATGACAACGTTGAAGCAAATCCATTCGAGATTCATGAAACGCCATTGCAATACAAAAAACTGACAGTGTGGACGATATTTTTTCCAGCAAAACGGAATAATCTATGGAAGTCGGTTTCGATAGATGTTGGCTTGGTAGTTACTGTTTTCAATAAGATTCATACCTAAAAGACGTTGACAGACTACCTAGATGGCGGAATTTGTCTCCGCTAATGAATTTTGTGGCTACCCTTGACTATCTGACGTCAAACTCGTTACATAATCAGGCCTATAATGAGTTTCTAGGTTCGAAATAATATTGAAAAATGCATTCAAAGCAGTTAATTACTGACGATTCCCTATATACCCGTAGAAGAGAACTGATTTTTGATGCATATTTGGAGAAGGTTGAACACATGTTAAAAACACCTTTCATACCTATGAAATGGCATTATATCCTTCGGTCAAATTTGATTCGGACTGATAAAGAACACTGCATTTGCATAAACATAAGCATGCTAACGCTTAACATAAATTTTCATACACTTGTTATAAGCCTCGGCTGGGATTTAGATAGCCCTRAGTGTCTTCGGTGAATTTTGGTTTTTCAGTTTCGGCTCATTTTTGGAACTTATATATATATGACTCCATCCTCCAGATATTCACCATGCGCCAAATCTTAGAAAACACCCGYGAAAAGAGGATCGACACATACCATCTCTGCGTCAGTTTGAAATCTGCTTTTGACACGAAATATCGATATGTCTGAATTTGGTATCCGGTCAAAACTAATAARGTTATGTAAACTGATATTKTGCAATACCAAAAGCTCCAWCATGATCGAGAAGGACCTCTCCGAKMCGATCGTGCGATCCCTTCAATCTACTGTTGGAAAGAATAATTCTACCTGCAGAGCTGAATCGAGAATCGTCACACTCGCGACTTTGCTTCCACGTCACTGTTGACGGTCATAACTTCGAAGTCATAGATAGTTTCGTCTGTCTTGGAACCAGTATTAACAGCAACAACAATGTCAGCCTAGAAATCCAACTCAGAATAATTCTTGCTAACAGGTGCTACTTCGGACAGAGTAGGCAATTGAGAAGTAAAGTCTTCTCGCGACGAACTCATTTACTATTCTCGTCCTGCTATATGGTGCAGAAGTATGGACGATGACAACATCTGACGAGTTGACGTTCTGCGGAAGATTTGTGGTCGCATTGGCAACAGAGAATATCGCATGCGATGGAGCGTGTTATACGACGACATTGACATAGTTCAGCGAATTAATAGACAGTGGTTACGCTGACCAGGTCATGTTGTCCGAATAAACGAAAACACTCCAGCTCTGAAAGCATTCAATGAAGTGTCCGCCGGGGGGAGGCAAAGAAAGAGGAAGACCTCCGATGGAGAGATCAAACGAAGAATTACCTGGTTGCACTTGACGCCGATTTGCGAAAAGAAGAAACGACTGTCGTACTGTTGTAAACTCGACTATAACCGTGTAAGCAGGGTCTACGTCAGTAAAGAAGGAGACGAAAAACATCCATGAAATGTTGTGAAGTAATTATTTAGCTTGTATTGGAATTGAGCAACGGGAATCATCAAGATCGTATCGTTATAGCATATATATAGCTGCCATACAAACTGAACGCTCGGTGCAGTTAAAGTTTTTTATTTTCATTTATTTGTCTCACTTTTTTACAGTGTCACCAGTCATTCTAAAGTTTCATAAATTAATTAAATATGTATATTATGAATATTTTAAGAACTTCTTCTSCTTTCTGACTAAAAGACGTTCATCATATTTATAACCCTATTATTTGCTGCTTCAGAATCGCTGAACTTGTCCGTTGATTGGACAAATGTGCACATTCGCATGATTCGAGTTGACCACACACATACACACACCCGCGCAGCTACACACACTCACACGTGTGACAAAAATTATTTATACAACGCCATTTCTGAGTATTTTACATTATTGTCACGCTTTTTGTTTATTTTAGTATTTGCAGAAATCATGCACTACTTACATACTGCATGCTTATACACATATGTACATGTACACATACACATGCATAGTCATATGTGCATGCATGCATTTTTCGTATAAACCGCAAACGCTGTCGACATTCCTTTCTCATTCACCAACGCCAGCGTCTTTGCTGCCGTCGCMGTCGTCGTCGTCGCGCTGTTATGCGCACTCACTCAAGTCCGTGCTGTCGACTGCCTCCACTTTTTTTGCCTTTTGCATCTGCTTATTTTTCTTTCGCTGGCTTTCATAGCTGCGCTGCTTGGCGTTCCACACAGCTTGTTGCTGTTAGTTGTTCCCATGCTGCCATTTCTTTAACTTTTTAACAGTTTTTGCTTTGCTTTTTTTTGCACCTTAACGTTGTTGTTGCTGGCGGTGGGCTGTTTATATGTGTATCCGCATGACTGGTTGATTTGGTGTGAGCATTATGTACGTGTGTGTGTGTGTGTGTGTGTATGAACTCATTGGCTTGCTTTGACTAGCTCGCTGGCGTGCTTTCTACCGTCAAAGTTGCTGCTATTGCCATTGTTGTTGCATTGTAGCCGACTGCGCTCGAGTTGTTGGTAGTCACTGCCGGCTTGCGGGGCTGGGATGCTTTTTGGCAGCGCTGTTGCTTGTTATGGCTGTTTTGTAATAACGCCGTGTTGTTGTTGTTGTTGTTGCTATCGCATTGCCATTTATGTTGTTGATTACATGTGTCTGTATGTATGCCAGCCTGTTTGATTATTTTCGTTATTGTTGTTGTTGGTTATATGAGTGTTGCTGTTGCTGCGTTCTCCCGATTCGGCTGGGCCTGCTCTTCGTGGCCATGTCACATTTAGTTTTGTTCGGTAATTCGGCGCGTAAGCAGCAAGAAAATTAGAATTTTCCGTATTACCGCATTTTGCAGCCAATAATCGCCAGTCGGAGAAGAAAACCGTTAAAACAAACACCAAAAAGTAAAAACAAAAGCGACAAAGCTACTTCGCTGAGAGTCGTTCGTCGTGCTGGTGCGACTTGTGTTTTTTCGTTTTTTTTTTTTTTTGCCTTTTCCGTTTTTGTTTTAGTGCTTCGAGTGCTCTTGTTGTTGTTTATTGCCGGCAGTTTAGCGCCCAAATTGTGAGAGCGTAAATTAGATTGAGAGCGCGAGTGCGCGTAAAAACTAGAAAAGCATCATAAAAATAATACTAATTAAAACAAAATAAAATCGTTTAATGATAATTCGCGAATTTAAGTATCCCATGGATACATTTGCGTTGCGAGCGAGCATACTAAAGTGAGCGCAATATATCTAAATACATATCTAACGGTAATAATGTGTTCGCGTTTCCAAGTGACACTCGTGTATGTTGGATTTGCACGATGGCAATAATGTAATGATTACTCGCCGACACCGAATATTGGTCGCGGAACAAATTCTGGATTTATTGACAATTACTTCGCAGATTTTCTGCAATTTCGTTGCTGGCATTCTTCGTAAGTAAAGGTGTCGTCGTATGCGCTCAATAAGTCGATAARTGAGCGTTGTCTCCACAATAGGCAGGTTGTATCGTCTTCACGGCAAATTGTAGTATTTGTCTATACACACTGGCCAAATAAATATCGWATTACTGGATTATCTGCTTTAAGGTTTAGTGGAGGTTTATTTTAAGCGTCACAAAAATTTGGTAACCCTTGATTGTGTAATATTTAACCTTTAAAAGCGCGGGAATTTTYTTGTTGGCTTGTTTTGATGATTACTGTAGAAAATTTTATGTTTGTAGAGTGACACTATTTAGAATGTTCTCTTGTTTTCATTTTAATCTTTGAAATTCTCTGATAAAAAGTATTTTGAGGGTTCTGATTCCTATACCATGGACCCTCTTATAATTTTAATTTAATCTCTGTCCAGAAAAATTTTGTGGTTTCCAGTCGTAAATCAAATGTTAATGGCGGTAATCGGGATCCAATCGATCATTGAGCCATGTCGGAACCCTAAAAGAACCGTAGCGAATTGTAATATTTACCTAAACAATTATCGTTCCAAATTCCTACAATCATTAGTAAATCGGAATCAGTGTTATTTAGCTATCYAGAGCTTGTCTCAACAGATTTAGTGGGGACAAGCTCGAAACCCCCAAAAATTAAATCATCAAAGTAACTGTCAAACTCAAAACGTAACAGCACAGAAAGAAGCTCGAAACAATGAATTTTGTAATCGGAATTTGTTAAGCCTCCTCAATGTGACATTTTAATGGACAGCAATGTGGTTGTCCGTTCCTATCGCGGTTCTTCAATGTATCTTAAATCTTATATCCAGTTAACAGTACTATCTTCTTCTTGATTGGCGTAGTCACCGCTTACGCGATTATAGCCGAGTTAACAAACCCTGTACCCTGTAACAAGACCGAGATGATGAGTAATTTGGGAGCCAAGTTGCGAGTGAGACGACTTTTTGTTTGATAGCAAGACATATTTCGTCTTACTCTCATACAGTACCAGAGCCATTTGCTTCGCTTCTTTGTCCAACGTTGAGAAATCAGAATTAATGGCTCGATTGTTATGAGGTCTGAAGCCTCGTTTGGTATCGAACGGCTCGGAGATGTCCTTCCCGATCCTAACGTAGCTTTTGGTGTTGCTCAACGTCAGTTTACACACCTGTATTAGTTTTGCTCGGTGACAGTTAGAATCAAGTTTGTTTTTGTTTAAAAGAAGTATAGCTGTACTGCTATTATGAGAAGACAAACCCTATATTCACATCCAATAATCCAAACAAAGTGCCTTCTATACACACCGAAGCCTTTGTGAAGCGGTGCTATTTGCGCAATTTCGTTTACAAAAGTACAGGTGTGAATTTTACTCCAATGTACAAACATAAAACATACATACGCATGTTATATACAAAGGAACATTCATTTGGCTGCTTGAAGGCGTGAAAGAGCTTAAAATCGACAAGGTTGTTTGATTTGCAATTGAATCTCTTCGTAAGGCAACATAAAAAGAACGCATAGCCAAGCCAAAAGCTTGTGTAAGCAGGATATATATTATATATGCATATATGTATATACAAATATATGCAGACAATCGTGTGTATGTCTCGATATGCAGTGGCGCAATCCAAACACCCTCAATCAGGCGAAAATTTCAACAACAAAAGTCTCTACAATATTGAATTGTGTGATTGATCGACGTTTTTGTACAAAAAACTACAGCAACAAATTGTTCAAAGTACATAAGCATAAACATATAGAGTTTATCAAACAGAAATTTGTAGCAGTGCTCGAAATCTCGGTTGGCTTTGGTCTGCAAATAAATGCTTGGTTGGTTGCTTGCCACGCTCTTGGTGCGATGCTTTATGCGGTGCTGCTGCGCTAGATTGTTTGTACAGTTGTATTGTTTGCTCGTAATTTACTGAGTTGCTGTTGTTGTTTTGCTTGGCTGTTTGTATTCCACGGACTCGTTTMTCCTTTAATGTATTTTGTTGGCGTTGTTTGTGATTAATGCAGCAGTCGCGTCCAGTGTTCTTGTTGTTGTTATTATTATTATTAGTGTTCTTGTTGCTATTGCTGTTGTGGCTGCTGCGCCATTGTTGGGTGCTTAGCGCTTTTGTTGTGCCTTTGAAAAAGTTTCGCTACTTGCGGCGAAAATCGTTGGATTAAGGTGCCATTTTACAATGAGCCACGAGGACAGCAAATACAAATGCAAAATTCACACACACACACACTTACACMTGGACATTTATGCAGTCTTTGGAGGATTCAGTATATAATCGTATTGCCGTTGACGATTGCAACCCTCCTTTGCTTTAGTGATTTGCACGCAGAAAGTTATTTAGCCGATTGTTGTTATTGTTGTAGATCAAGTTTCTGCTTTAATTATATTTCTTGTTAATTTTTGTAAAAATATGTTTCGTTTTTACTTACATCCGAGTGTCCGAGCAGCCGTGCTGTTTTTGAATATTTTAGTTTTATCCATCTAAAAGTTCTACATGGCAGCGGAAAAGACTCAAATTGCAATCAGATTTAATTAATATTGAAGATTATTCTATCAACTCACCTAGATGAATATAATAGAAGGTGTCAAGTGGGCGTCTGCTCTAACCAGCAAAACCATTAACATTCTAGTGAATAGCTAAGCGGAAATTAAGGCTATCCTTTGAATGAGGAATTGTGTAAAAATCGTGTACCCATTCATATAGAATAGAAGTAAACGAAAAGATAGACGAGCTGGGCGGCTTGAAGCAGCCAAGAATATAATACACCCAAGCAGCCCCCGAACATTCAGTTCCTTCAAAGGTGGCTTAAAGCAATAGACGTTTTTGGAACACATAAGGTGTTGGAGCTATGGCAAGGCGTACCACAATGTTGTAGTGCTGATGTTGGACGAACCAAAAACTTTCTTTTATCTTTTAGGCTAGCACCCTGCTTCTAAGATCTCACCATCATAAGCTTCCACGGTTCCCAACATTCCAACTTTGAAGACATTGGGTAGCTTGGATGGGAAATAATCAAGTTTTTCTTTTTATCAAATTCATTGAGTTGCTGAGTAAGGCTTATTTGGTTTCCACTTGAGGCCACAATGGACGTAATAGTGGCTTAAGTGCGGCCGTCTGCGGTTTGGGGCTTCTCGCTTCCTCTTTTAAACCAATTACAGTTTAGAATTAATACGAGTATAGATTCCCTCTGTCAGAAAGTTGATTGAATCTAATCAGATCAGCAACTTTCTTAAGTCAAACCCAAAAAGTAAATAAATAAAATGTTTAASATATTTTACATTTCTCTGCCCATACATCCAAATCGGACCAAATTATGAATAACTGCTTATTTCTTCGTAACTGTGGAAGAATCTTAAGAAGATCAGTGCTGTTACATAAGAGCATAGCACACAAATATAACTTCTGCTCTTATAACGCAGGCACTAAAATTCCTCACGTCCCTATTCATTAGATCTACCCAACGGATAGAAAACCATTTTTCTAACCTCCTGTCGTCACTACGTAGATCCAAAGGGGCTAATTTCTCGGTTAAATAAAGAAATAAATAATGAAGCTCCATAAAAACCGATTATACTTGCTAAAGTACTCAAGACTCTACAAATTCTCCTTCCTTAGTGACGCAGACATCGTTTACACTGTTTTAGCTAATTTTACAACAGCGTACCAGTCGTTCTTACTTTTGACGCCAATTGAAGTTTTTAAGTGTAGCCAGGTTCTTATCCACCTGGTCTTTCCAATGGTGATGAGGTCCTCCTCTTTCTCTTCTTGCCCCGCCGSGTAGTGCGTCGTATACTCTCAAGGCCGGAGTGTTTTCATCCATTCGGACGACAAGGCCTAGTCAGCGTAGCCGCTGTCTCTTTATTCGCTGAATTATGGCACTACAAAAAASTGGAAAAAATCACACGRATCCAAATCTGGTGAATACGGTGGTTGATCGWTGGTATTCAATGCGTTTTTGGCTTTAAATTCGGTCAGAATCGKGGCTCGAAGTGATGACGCMTTGTCAGCGCRTACAATCTATGAATTGTTCTTCAATACTTCCGGGCGTTTTCGACATATGTTGCCACGGCCACATATAACTCCTTATTGACCGTCTGTCCCTCCTGAACAAATTCATGGTGCACCAAACCACAAATTTCGAAAAACAATCAATGAAAATCACCTTGATTTTTGAGCGACTTTGGTGTTGTTCCTTTGGTTTTGCCTCGCTTTTTCCCCATTGCATTCTGATGATTGTTGACTTGTTTGCATGCCAAACTCAGAAACCCATGTTTCATCGGCAGTGATAATGCACTCCATGAATTTGGTATCGGAATTCGCACGATCAAGTATGTCCAAAGAGATCTGTTTACGGTACTCAGCTTTATCATCCGATACTAGCGAGAGAGTGATTCACGAATAAATTCAAAATTTGAGACAAATTCCTTGTTCGATATATTATTTCCATAAAAATAATATAAACTGGTTGACAGATCGTGCTCATATTTGACAATTTTACACACTTAGCAAAATACTTACCTGGGGAATTTAATTTCCGCTTGCTTTTTTGTCACAATGTATTAGTTGATTTAGCCAWTATATTGTCTTTWTGTASGCGAACTAGTCCCTCTGTTTTTGAAACATCGATCTGAWATTTAATGCACGGCTTATGCTCTCCAAGAAGCTGCCTATTTTTCGAAACAGTCGATATCGGAGGACTTTAGCATATATGTACATAGTTGTGTTACAAACTGTCCGCTGAAAATCAAGTTCTTGGATGTAAAAGTTTTTTTATTTGACGAGTTACCTTCGGAAAGTTGGGCATAGATTATTACCCAAGGCAAGACTACAATTTCCTTACATATAGTTCAGATTGCACCACTATAGTTTATAGCTGACATTTAAACTGTCCAATCAGGAACAAGATAAAGAACTACAAGTAAGATACTTTTTCCTTATTAAGTAACCTTGGTTCCACTTGAGAGTTGTTGATATCGAATAACGTGGTCAACAAAATGTTTTC